CTGGTATGAAATCAATAGATGGTAAAAGTAAGATTTGGTCTACACGTGAAATTTATTACTGTATTTCAATTCAATATTAATATATACAGCAAATTAATCGAATTCAGACAAGTTTATTGTGATGCGGAAATACAGTAGATCTCGTAACGGTAGTAGTAGATAAGAAGTAGATCCGAGTGACGCAATCACTGACGTACTAGCATACGTACGTACCTTCCTTTGTAGATCGTATCACGTGCTATTGGTGTGGCTGTGGTTATTACAAATCGAATGTGTTGAATAGCTAAAATGGTTGTTGATTAAACAAACAATAGATTGATTAGGTTGGCATCTGAGGGGAATTTTTGCTTATCCTCCCGTCGTAGAAACACATTTGTACGCAATGACGGTGTGTATGAGTACCGAATTAGTATATTATCTTTAAGCCTTTGTGCATTACTCACCCTTCTTTCACCCCTACGTTATCTTGTATCTGCGATATAGGACGGTAAATACAATTATTCACACTTTCGTACGACAAAGTATTTAGAGTTTCTCGACAGTTGGAGAGAAGATAAACTGCCTGATGACGGTATGTGATTTCCCCTCCCCCGTTTTTCTCTCTTTATTTGTAAATAACACGTGCAATATAAACATACAAAGCTTGTTGCATGAAAAAATCGTCAACTGCGAATCCGCCCAGCGTTTACATGCCGCTAATACTTGTCTTTTGCGCATGCGCTCTCGAATGTTAGACATTGCCGTCCCGCTCAAACATCAACCTTCGGTATCTGAAGATGGTATGACGGGCTCCCTGCAGGCTTCTCGCTGTTCTTTCGTTCGTTCATACTGTGACTAATTTAATCCTCTCATACTCCTTGCTTTCCTATTGTAGGAATTCTCCTCCTTGAACATCAGCAGGGCGCAAAAAAGTGGAAGGAATTAGCTTTAGATTTCTTTAAGAACGAGACTCCGAGCGTCCAGATGAAATCTCATGGCGGCGGGTCAGCACAGCAAATCAATTGACGGGAAATCCTGGGAAAGGGAAGGATGAGACTGGAGGTTGGGGGGGGAAAGATTTTAGGGAGATGTCCTCGATAAGAAGATAGGCGTCGGAGTAGGTTGAGAGAGCCAATGAATGATGAAATGCTTTCATCGCCAAAGAGATTTTTAATTAAAGTGGCGTGACTAAGTCCGTGAGAATTTCTTTGGTGCTACTGGATGAGCACAATATTTTCAGTACAACTGTAGCTACTTACTCTTACTGCTATTGTTCCTACAAGTCTTACCGCCACAGAATGGCTTTCCATATCCGACTAGACCCGCATCAATGCGCAAGTCAGTTGATGTGTCGTTCGTTTCCATTAGACGTCACAATACTTATCATTCGATTTCTTTGTAAGCAAGACTATTCACGAGCACACGCTCTCTCCAGGTTTTTCATGTGCGATTTTTTATTGGTTGTTGGATCCATCAGCCTAGCTAGAACTCATTATACTTTATAAGATGGGCCAAGCATCATGATGATAAAATGAACGATTAAGATAAACAAATGAGATTAGCATAGCCATATTGTGTATTGTAACTACGTAACAAGGACACAACAAACACGATAATAACTAATACGGTAATTAATAACTAGCTAATAATAACCCCAAATATCAGGTAGGGTATATCCATACAAAATCGGGGATAGCATTGAGTGATAATTATCGTAGCTAGTAACACGCATGTCGAGTATGGAATATAGTGTCACCGATACAAAGCGCATAGACAATTCTCTTTATTTAGATCATCCTTATTATTATGGATCTCTGATAACAATTACAGAACATTCCGTAGGCAATTATAATTGTCCAGACAATTCGATGATGACTGGGAAGGTTCGGCTAACAGACAACAAATTCTAACGTTGAAGTGGAACAATTGATTAATTGATATTCGTTTCTACAAAGGCATTATTATAAACGAATTGTCGAAATACAATTATTATATATGCATGTGTGGGAAAAGAAACGCCCTTCTCCCATGAATAAAACGAGGGGCCGATACCAATCTCTGCGAACAAGTTATGGGAAGAGCCTAATGAGTAAAAAAAAAAAAAAAAAACTGGATGCAGAGACGCAGAGAGACGCAGAGACACAAGAGATAGATATGTAGTGTAGCAATTTTTCCACTGTGTATAAAATAGAAAGGACGTTGCTTTTTGCAATGAACGGCCCCCCATTCCGACTACTCAAAACAGCGATGGATGCTCGGGGGATTTGAAGATAAGCAGATTTTTGCTTTAGCCTTTTTGACTATCCAGCTTTAGACACAATGGACAATTAATGACCACAAGGCTTGGAAAAAAACCACTGCATAAATGATATTATTATACAGGCTTTCGAATGTGATGCTGGTGCATAATTATTAGTGCCTTGCATGGCTACCAAGAGAACAATTGACATTGTCGAAACAATGAGCAAAAAGCCAAGAAGAAGTCTAAACGTTCTGTTAGTTGATTTTGTGTTATCAGAGGAATTCCAGATCATTTTGGCCCCTGAAAATTTTGGTCAGGCTTGGGGTGATGGTTTGCATTAATGTTGGCCCCATAAAATGTTATTTATATCGATGTTGTACAGGTGTGAATAGATGAGATACACAAAACCATTATTATTATTATAGAAATACAGTATCTTCATTTATAGAATACCCTTTCTGGTTGAAATTGATAAGGGTTTTATATTGAACTCATTTATCCGTTTATTAAACGAGTTATTTATTCGGGTTGTGAAGTGCACTCCGAATGGTATCAATCACGTGCTGTCTCCCCATCCATGACAATTGGTGGTTGACTGGAGAGAAACCAAAACATAAAAGACCGTACTGGCTTTACTCGCTCCCGCTGATAAACAACATCGCACCCACAAATGTTAATCAACAAAATAACACTTCTGCAATAGATAAACAAATAAATTTCCCGGGAGACCATCTCTTTCCCTTGTAAGCAAACTAGAAATAGATTACATTCTCACCCACAACGAAAAAGACTCCCTCGCAAAAAACCCAAGTGTACTATATTATATATATATATATACAAACGTTAGATAATCTTCAATATATATATCTCAAACAACCCAAGACATTTCTCTATTATTATCTCTGTCCAGGGAAAAAATAACCACTGCGACCAATTCTATACCCACTCGAAAGAAAAGAGCTCACTGTCAACCTGAATAGGACCAAAAGTGGTACTGGAACAACGGCTAATAATAATATACATATATCGCAGACCAGTTAGCTACGTAATCGCATGCTTACAAGGCATTCTATAGTATTCTCTACAACACATCTTTGTGTATGTCAATAGAACCCGTTCGAAGATCTCTCTCACAGACATCTCGCATTTGTATATAAGAAAGAAAAAAAAAAGCCCTCGACTCGGTTATAACTGTTCAACTTGTCACCATGTCTGCTGCCAACTTGATAATATCTCCTCAAGATAGTAATACAGAAATAGAACACTACAACGACAAAAAACCTCTTTCGCCTTCTCCACCTAAACAATTACCAAATAACACAATACCGTCGCGCGCAAAGAAACTAGTAGACAAGTTCACTACATTTAGTACAAGAAGCAAGGGATCAGACAGACAGTTAACTGTCGAAACTACAATATGTAATGCTGGGCGAAAAGAGTATCAGGTAAATGTACAGAGATAACAACTCTATTAAATGTAAACGTCCTTTTTAGTCCCAATATTGGGATTTTCAATGTCTCTTTATAGTATTTGTTTCAGCCTTTTACCTCGTCTCCCTTATATATATACTCTTTTTGTACTGTATAAACCCTAAGTCATTTACCATGCTTCGTTATTTGGATTCATCGGTCGATAATTGACTTTTATAGCACAAAATTTAATTTCCACGATAATTTTACGACCAGTCACTTGACTTTAAATTGATCACTGGCGGAGTTTTTCAAACAATCGTTCATTGTTGTTTATGCTGACGGTTTTTTCTTGACATAATAGCCCGAAGTGCGCTCTACCAAATCCACAGACACATCAAAAGTAAAGAAAAAGAAACGACCACCCATAAATATTACCGAGGGAATGTCGCGCGCTGACATATTCGCTGCAAAAGTTTCCAGTGCGGTCGATGCTTCTGAAGGTAACTAACTGGTCCGGCCATATGATAGTGTGAACTTGATACATGAAATTCCTCCCCCATCACCAACTAACGCTTACCACAAACCCTTGTTAAGACACCGACGACGAGGATTTCATCTATCGCGATCGTGGTCACTCTCGCACATCTTCGGCAGCAAGTCTCAACGGACCGAACCCACATTCTCCCTTCACCAGCCCACACATGCCTCAAGGTTACAACAACTATTCAGTCTCATCCCACAATTCCTTTGGTTACTCTCGTTACGGCAGTTTAAATCGTCCACAGGATTATGGATATTTTCAGGGAAATGCTCCTGACACGGATGATTATATCCCACGTAACTGCAAGAATTTTGGGTTACATAAACCAGGGACAATTAGGCCAGCATTGCCAGACATGTGGGTGCGCGTGAAAGGAGAGTATCCGAATTATGGAGCAACAGAGTATTTTTATCCCGATTCGGTGGAAACACCTTATTACGGGCATGATAGTCGACGCTTGCCGTTATTTATCAAACGAAGACCACCATACAAGGATCAACGCCGGTGAGTTGTGGGAAAAACAAGCAACGAGTTGTAGGGTATAGATAGGGCACATGTGTTATGTACCATTCAATTTCGATATCTTTTTATCTCACATCCATCCATCCATCCATCCATCATCCACCAGAAATTCAAACACGGCCCCCTTATGGTCAATGTTTATCGCCTGCTTTTTACTGGCCACCTGCTTCTTCTTCTATTATGTTTCCACCCGCCCGCTTCGAGAAGTCAGCATAATCGACATAACTAACGTCCTGGCTGCTGACAAGGAACTAATGTTTGACATGGATGTCCAAGCACGGAATTTCGACCTCTGGGATATCGAGATAGTTGATGCAGATCTCGATATCTTTGCTATCCCAACAAATCCAGCTGATCTGGAAAGAACAAAAAATTCGACAGAACTCTCACCATCTTCAATAATACCAAATGAATATTTGGGGAGGGTACTATATCTTGATGAAAAGCTTGTGTTTACCGGTGGCACTCATCGCAAGGGCATCGTCAGCACGGCTTCGAGTCAAGTTCGTTTAAAGAATCCTGGCGGGAGATCAGATAAAGACGCACAGAATCGATGGTGAGTAGAGAGCGATCGGACACGAGACTTTTATTATGTTGTGACGACATCAGTTACAGGATACTTGTAACATATTCTGAACACTAATTAATTCTTAATTTATTTAAAGGTCGCAAATGTTTCGCCACGACTTTGTTCTAATAGTTCGCGGATTTCTCAAATATAGTCTTCCCTTTGCAGAAGACAACTCGGTTCGAGTCTGCTATTTCCGTGAAGTAGACGGTACTGCAGCCCCCAGTGACAATTCAACAACAAAACAACCTCTCGCATTAGACGTAATGACTGTTTGCAATGAAGAATGGAACTAGATCTATGTAATTCCGGACAAGAATGGAACTCGATGCCACACACAATATTTCGAGAGGTCAAACTACTGAACCGTATAAATTTATTTCGATTAATAATTACATCTTCGTTTGCACATAATTAAAAACGAAAGATACCAAAATCAATAATAATATTTATGATTTGGGGGATAAAAGGGCCGTGGTTTACATATTGTTTGGTGTTTAGAATGTTTGTCAATGCGGTCTTGCCAAACAATCTGTTTACTCGTTTGAAAATACCCAATGCATAATCAAATAGTTGAGACAGTGTAACGTAATTCGATTTTTTTGTAAACATAAATCTTGTTATTTCTACTATAGAAAAGTGATCGAATCTGAAAAACAAAACAATAAAAGTACCAGAGTAACATTGGAGGAATCCAAAGCAATCGAAGAGTAATTTCTCATTTCGATTATGGATATCTTTGATATTTTCATTTACACAATGTCCCCTCTCCAATCCTCCAGATAACACTGTTACATTTTCCTTTTCGGAATATTATGTCGTAATCAATACGCAAATATGGAACCACGTGTTGAGTCTGGCGTTTTGTACAAGGAGGAATAAATGTTTCAGGTAAAACTGGGCGAGCTGAAACGTCTGCGAGGCTTGCGGGCTGCATCAGAAGCCCGGTCGGCAAAAGTCAAGTCGGCTTTTTGAGTAAACGCCAAACCTGATTTTAACACAAGTACTCGATTCATATTGTGTACGTGTGTTAATAAATCAATTTTTAGGAAACCAAAAGTTTTGCTGGGGACGGGCCCGATTGCTCTTGCCTTTTTCAGATCGGCCTTAGAAACACAGTTAAGTTTGAATTTCGAGAAAAAAGGTTGACTATCTCCGCTTTTCAAATAAAATAGCAAATAAAATTAATTAAAGCGAGCATATATGTACACAGATGTAAAAGCATGTGCAAGAGGCGTCTGACGCGTCTGGATATTTTCGAATTTTCTTGTTTGACTTTTTTTCCTTTTTTTTTTGGAGGGGGGCAAGGAACACTTGTTAAAGTTTTAACTTACCATTCACCCTCACCTTCCACAGACCATAATTAGGTCCATAACACGCAAATATGTATGCAGTGAAACGATACAAAATTTTTTTCTTTTTCGGTCGATTCATGTAATGAAGTCATAGGGCTCCAATTAGGCTGGACATGTGTCGCCCAGCCACGGCGATATTCTTAGCTCGGTCTGTCATGCAATATGAATGGCCAATTGCATAAATAAAAATCTACAATAATGAACTAAATCAATCTCTTCTTAATTAAAGAACAAGTAAAACTCAAAAGTCGCCCCGTCGAAATGAGACGAGTGTATGCTGCCTGTTCGCCCCGATTTTATTAGCAAGTTATCAAAGAAACTTTTTTGCTGAATAAAAATTAACTGTTTGGCAAGTGGAAGTATATTATTGGGTGTAGTGAAGACTAAAATTTTACAAATTAAAAGCAAAGGACTTGGACGCAAATGTTATGGCATTGATATTTAGTATGTTGTTATTATTGTATTGTTCATCAATTAACCAAGTATCATCAAGTGATTTTATATCACTATTGTAACTCACATTGCTAATGTTACGTTGATGTACAGCCTTTCTTCAAAACCTTTATTAATCATATTCTTGCAATATGAAACGGAATTACGAAAAAGACTTAATTTATTATTGAAAATGGAAATTCATTTTAAAGTTTTATCACGTGAATTACACATAAACGCGTCTCGCCATGCGCCGCATTCCTGCGCTAAATACAAGCACAGTATATAAAACAATTTCGTAATTAGATAGATAGCCGGTGAAACAACATAAGGGAAGGTAATTTCGCTAACTAACATCATATTTTATCTTATAGTTTGGATCTCGTTCTTTAATCCAAACATTCCTTCAACACTCGTAATAATATTCATAAATTATATGCATATTGGACATTAATTGTCCCGGTGATTCTGCAGCCGTAAACATGGTAGAATTGATTTTGCCCACAGTAAAGTCCGCTTTAACGAAGAGCTCCGTTCCGCCAAAAAACTTCGTTGATGCGGACTGTTCGTTAAAGCGGACTTCTACCTATATAACGAATTTTCATATATAATCACATGATATTTGTTAAGTGGGATTTATTTCATAACAATTGTAGTTAACCTGAATGGGCGAAGAATTAGACATATTTATTACATCAATATAACGAACATCCCTCACTAATTTATCGTCCCTACCATATTTGGTAATATAAAATTTTCAATTACCAAAATAATCAGGGGTGATGGACTTAGTGAAGGAACCATCTTACCCTTTAGAAGAGGTGATACTATATATGGTAAAGTAGTATTCCTATAGTAATAGCCATTTGCGATTAATATTGATACAATTTCGCATAAGTGATCAGATCGTATCATATCCGATATGAAGCACTCCTTCCTCATCCAATGTTATAAATCGAGCAAATATTAACCCAACGATCAGAAGAAATACCTTTTAACTAATCATTTGCCAATACCATCAATACGACTCTGATACTAGGCATCGCATAACTTTACATTCTGAGACAATGTGGGTGTTGCTATTTGCAGCGAACGCCATCCCAAACATTATTATCCAAATCTGTTAGGGGCGAAGGGCTACCAATATGCCGAACGTCGTTATGCACCAAAATTTCGGTATATCATAGCGGGTTTGAAATGTCTTCGCTATGTCGTTATACAGATTTTAATTATAAATCTTCGTTAAACCGGGCGCTAAGCATATATGAATGAATCGGTTCCATGAAAAAGCTTCGTTATAAGGCCATCTTTGTTAAAGCGGACCTTCGTTAAAGCGGACTTTACTGTGTATATTAATATGTGTAGTCTAAATATACATTGACACACGTAACAATAAATCTTCTGTGTTAATTGTCATTTTGGCAAAAAATTAAGTTAGAAATTGGTGTAATTTTCCTATTACTATTGCATTAGCGAGTAAGAATTACTTACATTGTTTGAATTATCAGGAGTTTCCAATTAGTGGATTCGTCTAGGAACAAACTCAAATTTTTTACTCGATCAATCACTTTTGCATCCATTTGCGCCGGTAAAAATCAGCCTCATAATCTTTATTAGATAGTACATATTTACACGACCCAAAAACAGACCACTATTCTGACATGCTACCATGGGCAAGGGATGCTTACACTTTATTTCAAGCTCTCTGTCTACTCACCCAATAATGATCCCGCAATGTATCTACAATCGTCTCAAAGAAGTTTGGATTAGAACTGATTTTGACGAACCATTTCAAGATGTCAAAACGATTGGTGATTGAATAATTATCGTGTTTATAGGCGCAATTACGTTGCCTTGCTAATCCAATTCCATTGTAGCATTCGGGCTTTTTAGAGAACGAATTTACCCGCTCAAATAGACTTTCCACAAACGAAGTGGCTAATACGCGTTGTGTATGTAGTTTAACAAGTTGCTGCTATGGCTTTTACCTCGTGTGCTATCATTAATCGCGTCCCATCCCAACAATTATTTAGGTGTGTGTCCATAAGTACATGAACCGGTAAACCCGTGATCGCAAGGATGCTTTTCGCTCTATCTATAAATGGTATGATCAGACAGAGCATTTGATAAATGTGTTCCAGGATATGACTAATGCGTTTGGTAAATTACTGCCCAAAGAGGCTACAGGCTGTTGAAGTAGGCGTAAATCCAATGATCGGACATATTCATCAGGGAAGGAAGCTAGACAGTGGAATCAGGATTGATGTTTGAGGATTAAGATTTGCTTCGACTATGAAAGTTCAGTGGTATGTTTATACAATCATTTACGTTGGATTGTAATAGCCGTAAAATTAACCATATTGATTCTTTAATGCCTCAGAAACCAAAGTATTGATCAACTGGGATAAGGCCTCTCAACAACCCCCCCATCCCTACTTTTAGTTCGTATGTCTCAATTCTATTGCGGATGGCCTTCATCTGCTGTTATTACAAGGCACCGCAGAAGAAAGCGTTAAAGCAACCCGAAGCTGCTTCTTCACAGTTCTCTCAACAAATAGTTGGTAAGAACATTAACTTTTGAGCTTGCTTGAAAATCGTCCACTTCACAAAGACGTAACACTAGTCAGAGATATGGCAAATACCGCATGGCCAGGCTTGCTTGCTGCAGTCTTTGTTCTTAAACTGAGACGGATTATTTCAAAGTGTCCCGCGAGCATATCAAAACTTTGCAATCGTGTGCGGCGTACTGCATTTGACTACACCAAGCGATGCATTTCTTGTAAAGGGGTCGTCACTTCAAGCGAGCAACTGCGGAAACGATGGGTATTGTCGGTTAGTCTTATCGTAATCGATCTTGCTTGAAAATTCTAATAAGCATTAGGAGATCCATTGGAGACACTTTATTCCATCTATATGTTCGAGGTGTATTACTTAATACACGAAAGTTGGATAGTCATCATGGAGTCTTCATCGGCAACATCATCATTAGTTAATCCATTAATTACTCAAACAGGAAGCACGTCTTCACTCAAGCCTAAACACATCATTCCCTCCTACTTCCGTGCGTGCGTACCTTCAACGTCTTGTAATACTGTTTCAAGTAGCATTACCGGAAGTGCAATCCGCCGTCGAAAATGATATTATACATATTAAGAATATTATTTGAGCTCGACATGCAATTCGGTGTCGGAACTCGTCCGCGTCGGCTTTCCTTTTCTTCAGCTGATATGACAGATTTTGTCACCCCCCAATGCATCAATATTTGGACAATCTGTATGGGGTGATTTGAACTTGCCGATGGAATGTATCGGACTTATTCAGACGAAAAGAGCAATATCGCAGGTGTAATTATTGTTGCAATTAGCTAGTATATGCTCGGACAGAGCAAATCAAACGTTATTCGCACGGAGTAGTTCTTGACACATATTTCTGTTGTTAAACTTGCATCGTTCCGGGCCGTCAAGGCTATGCAACAGTATCACGGAAAGTGCGATAGATCCTCGAGGAAT